CTCTGCTCCTCTTATCTCCTGTTTCTGCCTCTAATATGTCTCTGACTAGACCTTCATATCGTAGAAGGTGTCTCTGTCCATAGTATCCTCATCACTATGAGCAAACTATACAAAATAAATAAACGTTATAATTTTATTAGTATTTTCGAATTGAAATTATTAGGAGAACTAACTAAGGTGGAGCTGAAAGTCCCGGACGTTTTTAGATTAAAGTAGGAAACTAATAAGAGAATAAAATTTGGAAAATATTAACATACGAAATACTGGGAAGTAGATTTAGGCCCTATATAAAAAAGTTATTTGCATAGAGACAGTATTATTGTTAACAAAATTTTGCCGGCTATAACGCTGAATTAAGGCTAATACTTCATAAACATAAACGGTTGATAATAATACGTTAACAATGTTACGGGGGGGTCGCTGAAAACTGGCGCAGGTACCTGCACAACATGCAGCTTTGCAACGAGAAATTCCATTTAAATTGTGTTTTGAAAACTGCTGAGTTCAGCCAACACAAAAAAGTAATATATTTTTAGGACTTGTCTTATTGTTCTGATATATTGATTTTCAAAAAGATGAGAAATAAGATTGTTCAGTTCCGGTAAGCTTCCGTTATAATAATGCGGAACCAGATGCAGAAGCGGATGTGAAAATGTATGCGGAACTTCCGTAATTGTAGAAACGGAAGAACAGGTCTGTTGCAACACTATTGGAGACGTATTAAAAGCAGTTTTCGGAAAATGAGAATGCTGGAATAAAATAGGAAGAAGTGGTGGTGCGTGAATAACCAGTCCGCGATCAAAAGATCTTATGAAGATAATGTATTTACTGAATTGGATCCAATAATTCTGTGAATTCAATAACTTCCCTCTTCTTCTATTCATTCAACGTTTAAGTTTATTAATTTCTTATTTAGGGATATCACTATATCCTATTTCTTTTTCTTTGCAAAATTACAGTTATTAGAAGTGTATTGCTATGCCTTCTGAACCAGCTGATTAACCTAGAAGAGATGCTATTATAACGTTAAATAAATTGGATTCAATGGTCTTTTTAGGTTATCGATACGCTGGTATGTGAAGCAACCTGTAGATATAATTTTATACCAAGTCTTCCTCGGTTAAATAATAAATTATTCAGTCCAAGTCTTATCGAATTGTTGTTTATGGGAATTTAACAGTTGTAGTAAAACTCTTACTACCTGAACGGCTTCTGGACATAACAGAAAATAGACCGTAATGCTACTTCGTCCGCTTACGGTCGCCATGTGTTTCAAATTCGTTAATGAATAATAACAACAAAGTTCGGTGTTTTATTTATACCATTATCATTAATAGTATAATTACACTTGCATGTCTACTTGTCTACAGTTAGTTTAAGTATTTAGTCATCTCGGTTTTGATATTAAGGATATCGACATTGAAATACTTTTTAGAAATTAATGTTAGAAACTATTGATGGAATAGGCTGCATGCTTGATAATGATAATTTCTTATTATAATTTTATATATAGTTTAGACAAATAAGTCACGACAGAAGGGATATAAATCAGAGGATAGCACAGGGTCGAGTCGCCTTCAATAAAAAGAAGTCACTTCTATGCTCGCGAACGATTAATTTAGAAATTCGAAAAAGATTGTTAAAGTTGTATGTTTGGAGCGCGGCGCTGAACGGGTGCTAAATTTGGACAGTGGGCGCGGCGGAAAAGAAAAGGTTAGAAGCGTTCGAAATGTGGTGTTGCCGGCGAATGGTGAGGATACTGTGGATACAGAAGGTTAGGAACGAAAAGGTATTAGAATGAACAGGAGAACAGAGGACTCTATGAAAGCCAATAAAAAATAAACGAGACAGGTTGGTAGGACACCTTCCCAGACATGAAGGTCTGGTCAGAGACATATTAGAGGCAGACAGGAGTTAACGGGAGTAGAGGTAAACCTAGATTAGATTACCGTTCGCCAATGGTTAAGGATGTCGGATGTTCTAGTTTTAGGAAAATGCGAAGATTAGCTCAGAATAGGAAGGAGTGAAGGTGCTGTTTATATTTTAGTTTTCTCAATTGGTAAAACTCCACGGACCGTTTTCTAATAGAATTGCAGGAAAAAAATAAGGGATTTTAAAAAGAATTTTTATTAGATAGGACTGCAGTATGGAGGATAACAATAGCTTATGTTACAATCAGTTACTGATAGTGAGAAGATTTCTCCTACTTACCTAACTTGTTTTTGTCCAAGTGCAGGTTTACAAATGATTGTTAAATTATGCTATACCTATGAATCCACAGTTTTGAGATGAACCCTTCAAGGATCCATGGACCCCAGAGTAGTTTAGAACATCTGCATTATATCTTTTTGTACATAAATAGAATCACCAAAAATATTTAAACGTATAAGTACACAATGCTTTCAATCAATTTGTCTTAGAATTTAGAATTGCCCAATGTCACCTCAGCTCTGGACGCGTTGTTCGTTTGTCATAAAGTAGCTACGCCAGCACATTTGAACATTATAAAAGTGATTTTTTTTTATAAACATACAGTTATAAAAATAATCATTGTTACAGCACCAAAAACAAGTGAAAGTTAAGAATATTATATAGGTAATATTAACGGTTTCTGGATAATATGTGTTGGAGTAAAAAGTCACAGTCTCCATCTTCAATACATTTCCTATATAAACGGTAAAATATGTTAATTAATAACGTACTAATGGTAGACAGGTTCCTACGAGAAAGATAGAAAAGACTACCTCTATGTGATGCCATTGGTGAGTAGCCTTGAAGTGTACACCAAATGAATAAATAACGAGGAGTCAGAAATTCATAAGGACCTTATACTACTCTGACATCTTACGATAACCTTGAAGTAACTAACCTGCATCTGAATGTTCTGTTGAAATTCTAGATGGCAGCTGCAACACAAAAAGTATTCTAACCACTTCATTGTCAAAGCAAAATTATATGGATACATTTGAGATGAAAAGCCCATGTAGGAACTAAAAGCAATATTAAATGAATTAGTGTAATTATTGTCAATCCAGATATGTTTACAACGAATTGTTTCACATTTTCATATACAACTGCAATTTATTAACAAATTTGTTAAGCCTTAAATATTTTTTAGACAAGACATGAAATATTAAAAACTGAGTTACATTACAAAAGTTTATAATTTTGAGAAACTTTATTATTACTTTATATATGTAGGTACTATTTTATTTAGACCAAAAGCTAACGTTGAACGTCCAATGGTTCAACATTGTCGAAAACCAAAACAGTTTCAAGACCTCTCGATATTAGCTAGACTTCGAATTTATAAGCCTAAATAAAAGAAGACTGAGATTTAAAAATCCTGTAAATGTTAAAACAAAGTAAATAAAAAATTATTGTTATGTTTCTTAATTTGTTTATTCTACATACTTCATCTTTTTATATATTTTCAAATTCCTATATAACTAAAATTTTGGAGTTCTCTACGAAGTAAGCCACATTGCTTTCTTGTGGTCCCCGTAAGGTTGGCATATAAGGTGCCAAAAGGAAGTAAGACACCTTACCTTACTTGCCTGACTAGAATTTATTAGGAGCATACTCATATAGCGTGTGGATTTCTTGTAGCTAATGAGAGGCATGGCGATAGACGAATTTCCAGGTAGATTCCTCATCATCCTTACAAAAGAAATCGGCGACTCTAAAATAATCCCTTATGAGGTTTTCAAAAGGATCTTATTAGCTAAACCAAACACTGGTAGGTAGGTACAATATAATCTTACAAAGAAGTGGGCACTCATGTGGATTCAATGAGACAAACATCAAATACAGGAACTCATCTCATGGTTTACCTAATCCAATTACGCCAATTTTTTTAGAAAGAGTAGCGATCATATTTCTTCAGGAAGACAATAAGCGGCATTCATAACAGTGAAGCACAAATCAGGCAAGACTTCGTGAGCCTTATACTGAGAGCAATTTAATGTGATCCACACGAGGCAGTGTGGCTAACTTTATGGGGACCCTAACAATTCCGCTCCAAAAATTCTAATCGGGATATGAATGCAACACGTAACTTTCATCTGAAGAAAAGTGATCGCTGCCGGCTTAAAAAAAAATAGGAGAATCAATTGGAGTAATTGTCAATTAAAGCCTACCAGCAGATAACCACAAGTTTGTCTAAGAAAACATTCTAATATATTTGGTGACCCACACAAAGCAAATGCAATTTCCAATTTGTTTGTGAGGTTATACATTTGTTAGGTTTGCCTCATACGATCATTATAAAAATGTCACTTCAGTATCGGTGATTTCTTTTCTGTGAAAGTCTGCAGTGAAACCCTTTTATTTGTCATATGAAGCCCGTACGCTACGTGAAACCCTTCTATCGGTATGCCGCTCATTTGCCACACGAGGTCCACACGCTTCGTGAAGCCTGTGCGATGAAACCCCTCTATTGGCATACCGCTCATTTGCCACACGAAGCCCATACTAGTTCGGATGCATATTAAAACCACACCGGGACACACACATAGTATCCTTACAACCGAAAGACGTATTTTACGTAAAATTTTTTCTTTCCAACATCCTATACGATAATCAAAATCACACCAATTCCTACAGTAAAAGTGTATAGGTATAGACAAACACAGTTTGTTATATAGGAAATAAGTACCTGCTTTATTTATATTTACAATTAGATATATTAACTTTTTTGTTTTTGTTACAGGTTTACGATCGAAACGATGCCGGTGGTAAGTGATTATTCGCTTTGCTTTTTACCTGAATCATTGTTTTTATATATACACTATTTTTATGAATTTGGCGTCTTATCATGAGGTAGTTATGCGTTCTTTAGTTTTATTGAGTTAAGGAAAAAAGGCGCTGGAAACAGTTCTACGGACGCGCAGCAGCGACGTTATAATTTATGTACGAAAATACGTAAACAACACGTCATTAAAAAATCGTAAAAATTAATTTACGACCTAAAACGTTTGACATCCCAATATTTATTCGACCTGAACGTACGTAATAAAAGTTTCTCGTTGACCGATTGTTAAAAGACGTCGTTACTAAACTGGATAATTGTTTTGGTTGCGTGAAACAAAAGGCTCTTAGGTTTAAAGCTGATTTTGAAAGTAACTCACAATTTTCTTAATTTTACTCAGACGCAAATACCTAATTAGCAGACATGGTTATGAAAAGAGAAAGCCCCTTGTATACCTATTACAATTTTTTTTTCACGAATTGCCATAATCTCGCAAATAATTATATTTCGCTTCTTGGTCGACATTCACTCAGTTTAAAGGCGCTTAAATTCCTCAACTGAAGCGAGATTAAAAAAAGTTATGTTTACTGAAATTTTGTAAGATGCGACAACGTCGTGAACAGTATTTGCGGCAAATACCGAAATGAAAATGAGAAACCGAAGTCTGCTGAGATCCGCTCAGCAGCACCAGCGTTGGGAGAGAGCACAGACGGCGTGTTATCCTTAGCGCGTGAGTATCGAGCGCCTCGTGGCATTTTCCGGCCGTCGATTGGCCAGGACCGCACCTGCTCGGATTGGCGTTACGGTGGAGGGGCGCCATTAGCAGTCGCGGCCTAGTACCGCGGATAAAGCACAGAGGGCCGTAGACTAAACATACTACATGGGTCATAAAGGATTCGAAGAAGTATAGAAGTATACCTACGTACGTACGAACGCGCGTTAAAGAATTCCCCGCTAATAGGTTACGTCGTAGTCATCATCAGCGTAGTAGCCGTCGTCGTCGTTTTCCCTTTAGTATTTAATAACCACAAGTGATCGCGGTCCAAGTTCGACCGACTTTGGAGTGTCGTCTAAGAAACCACAACAACCTAAAACAAAACATTAAAACTTGATACTTAACTTTTTTTTAATTGCGTGTATATCTAAAGTGAGATGAGTGCGCACAGTATTAATGACGGCGGTGCAGCGTTCCGGAACAACCGGCAATGACTTCCAAATTTATCATCGATAGCATGCTCCCTAAGTATCACCAGCAATTCCATCATCAGCAATTGTTCCCAAGTCCGACGAGCAGTGCAACGAGTGGTATCGAAGTTTCGGCCGTTAACTATAGCTCATCGTCGGTGTCGCCGAGCGGTTCGTCACCTGGCAGCGCCTCATCAACATCCCCCGCGTCCAGAATGTATCCATACGTTTCGGCCGCGACGGCCGCCGCCCATCACCATCATCAACAACAGGCGGCGGCAGCAGCTGCTTTTAACGCCGCTGCCGCTTCGGGTACCATGGTACCCGGGGCCTTTTCATCGAGTTCAACGGCAGCTTTGGCGGCAGCCGTAGACGCCGCCACGGATAAGTCCTGCAGGTACACGGCCGGTCTAGGAAGCAACGTCACACCAGCCGATTCCATGGTCAATTATACCCTGGGACATCACCATCAAAACGGCGCTTCTGCTGTTTCAGCGGCTGCAAGTTCGGTAAGCGCCGCTTCAGCTTCTATGGCCGTCGCGGCGCAATTTTATCACCAGGCGGCAAGTGCTGTCGTGGATCCATTAAACTCATGTTCACAGCCCACAGCACCAGGAGGACAACCATTACCCGACATACCCAGATATCCGTGGATGTCCATCACAGGTAAGGCATCATCATACACATCACTTTACTCCTACTTTCAAGGTGCCTTTTTGGAAGGTTGTCTGATTATCCATCAAACAGTTAAAGTAGAGCAGGAATTGCAAAAGTTTGCCTTCGATTTTTTATTGATGTTCATATTTCATTTTCCTTTCCAAAACATCTCGCTTACAAACTTCCCCAAATAAAGCAATCGAACCGTAATGCATTAGCGTTTGGATAAGAAGTACACTCAGGAAATGACCTGGTATATAACCTTTAATCTTTAATTGATTAACTATGGGATATGAGTATTTCCGTTTTTGGATGGATGTATCTCTCCCCTGTGTAGCTAACCACTACTTTTATTCATGGTTTAATTTCCAGACGGTACTGTAAATTATCCAAAGAGAGTCGAGAAACTTGAAAGGACCTGCTAATATCCTCATAATCGATCGATATAAAATCCAAGAGTATCTTACTGCAATTTTGGCAATTGTCACCCATTACACCCGAGAGAATAGATACAGGCAGTAGAATTTAATGGTGGGAAAAAGAAACTTCTGAACTGATTTACGACCAATAAAGACATTTAGAGTTTAGTGTGAGTCATTGTCCGTTTTATGGCTTGTTTTTCTTCCGTCGGACGACTTTTGTATACGTAGTACACTTGCCACATGTATCTTACGGGCACACTTTGAGAAAGAGAGAGCATAGCTCACTGTGCTGCCACCATACACTGATACAATACACAAGGCACACACACTTTTTTTTTATTGTTGCTGCTCCAAAGCGACAATAATAATGCATTGAGCACTCTTTTATTATGTTGTGACTTAACGCGTTGTAGAATCCGGTGGTTTATTTGCAATAAACTTTGCCGATCAATTGTCCGTTTTATTAGAATTCACGCGACGCGTTTCGGAACTGCCTGTTGCCCGATTAAAAATGACAATAAAACGGCCGTTTAATTGCCGTTTAGTGGGCAATAAACAATAAAACTAGTCGTAAAAGTTCTGCGATCAATTCAATCGTTGTTCGGTGCATTTGCAGAACGGGTAGGACGTGCGGTGAAGTTTGAAAATCATGGATTTAGGTATAATGTGATCGATCGATCTTTACAATCAATGTTTTTTTTTGGAATCAATATGTTTCAATCGAATTGCTTCGATCCTCTAATAAAATATTGTACTAGAATAGAAAACTGCGTTATATCATTTTAGATTTGATATGGTTTTTTTAGGAAAATATTCTTATTTCAAGAAAAATATTTTATGATCAGTTGATTTCTAATTTTTTTTTTGTAACTATCATCCACAATAAAAGGAAGGTATAAGCAATTTCCTTTGCACTTAAGAATTTTGAGCCACAAGTTCATAAGTTGGAATTTGGGAAAAAAAAATTGAGGCCTACTATAAACTTTTAAAACATTGGTGCGGAGAATTATGAAGATGAATCAGACTAAATCCAAAAATTGAGGCTATACTATAAACTTTTGAAACATTGGTACAGATAATAATGAAGACTAAGACTAAATGCAAAATTTAATGAATTAAATACTCTAAAGATGATGAACGCATTTGCTCAAATCTACGTAGGTATATGGATTTCCTTCCTGGTTTATCTTTTATCAGTAAGAACTTTTAAAAGTAAAACTGGTTCAGTCAGATACGTTTGAACAAACTGAAGGGTTTCTTTTTTGCCTATGACACAATCATGAATTACGGAGGGGTCTTTCAAGTATTACGTGAGCACACATTTAGTCGTTTCGGATTCTTCAAAATAAGATAAATTGAAAAAGAAAACTGAAAAATGCAGTTAACTTATCACTTTTTCTTACAATTGCTAAATAAACGAATTCGAGGAAGAATAAATAAAGAATATGGAGAAAATCATTGCCTATAAGAAAAACAGTTGGATATTTAGTCAAAAAATCCATATGGCGGCGAGGTACGTCTATATTTTTATTAATCTTATCCGGGAGAAATCATTTTTGTAGCCAATTTAAATAAAATTCCTGATGTAATTCATTGTTCGTTATGATTTCTTTTAAATGGTACACAAATATCATTAAAAGAGAGGTACTTATAGCCTTGCATTGATTTAGTTTACCTAGACCAAACAGATAATTTACGTAAGAAAAAGACAACTTTTTGAAAAGGTACCTTTTCTTTCTTTTGCAGTTTCTATTTACTCTCTTTCACGTTTATTCCTTTGTATTTTCAGATTGGATGAGCCCTTTTGATCGAGTCGTATGCGGTGAGTACCCATTTTGTATACTAGCATCATTTTTTATTCCATCGTTTCTTACGGTCTAAAATTGCTACGACGTTTGCGTATAAACAGCAGTCACAACTAATTTTTTGCCACCAAACATTATTAGTTTTACGCTTCATCATTGTTAAATGCTCCATAAAGTTATGGAGCTTATCCGTTTTACCCTTGTTTGCGTTATTTTTATGCCCTCGTGAAATTATCGAAATGTGTGGCAACGAGGCCTTTACGAGGGAAACCGTTTTTATTTCAGCCACCTCGTTTAGATGGCGCTAGTTGACTTATTGAGAAGAATATCCTAGAAATAAGACGAGAATTGTTCAAGTGTTGCGTTGAATTTTCGTTTTCTTTTGTACGTAATTAGGTACATAATTTGTGAATTAATGGAAAACAGAAGAATTTTATATTAATTGTAAGATAAATACATATTTATAAAGTAGTACTTAGTTTTACCCGCGGATTCGTTCTCGTTGATGATCTAAATGTGTGTCAAAAATTATGAAACACAACATAAAACTAATTTTTGTGTGCCTAAGAAAGAGTATCTTTTTCTAGGATAAAGGTACTCTATGTCCTTTTCTGTACCTCTAGCAATGTGTGTACAAAATTTCATTAAGGATGGTAGAGTAGTTAAGTCGTGAAATGGTAGTGAACAAACAAACTCACATTCGCATTTATAATATTAGTTAGGATTATGAAAACTGAGATGAAGAAAATCTTGGATTGTTTCACAATTGATTTTTTGAAAACACTATGTATATTTTGTATTATTGGTGAATCTTCAAGTATATATAACTTCATAATTGTATGTACTTAATTTTATAGTATAAAATTTTTTTTTATTAGTGAAATGGATTTGTAGCTTGGTGAAACATGTTTAAATAAAACAATCGAACCGTAATGCATTAGCGTTTGGATAAGAAGTACACTCAGGAAATGACCTGGTATATAACCTTTAATCTTTAATTGATTAACTATGGGATATGAGTATTTCCGTTTTTGGATGGATGTATCTCTCCCCTGTGTAGCTAACCACTACTTTTATTCATGGTTTAATTTCCAGACGGTACTGTAAATTATCCAAAGAGAGTCGAGAAACTTGAAAGGACCTGCTAATATCCTCATAATCGATCGATATAAAATCCAAGAGTATCTTACTGCAATTTTGGCAATTGTCACCCATTACACCCGAGAGAATAGATACAGGCAGTAGAATTTAATGGTGGGAAAAAGAAACTTCTGAACTGATTTACGACCAATAAAGACATTTAGAGTTTAGTGTGAGTCATTGTCCGTTTTATGGCTTGTTTTTCTTCCGTCGGACGACTTTTGTATACGTAGTACACTTGCCACATGTATCTTACGGGCACACTTTGAGAAAGAGAGAGCATAGCTCACTGTGCTGCCACCATACACTGATACAATACACAAGGCACACACACTTTTTTTTTATTGTTGCTGCTCCAAAGCGACAATAATAATGCATTGAGCACTCTTTTATTATGTTGTGACTTAACGCGTTGTAGAATCCGGTGGTTTATTTGCAATAAACTTTGCCGATCAATTGTCCGTTTTATTAGAATTCACGCGACGCGTTTCGGAACTGCCTGTTGCCCGATTAAAAATGACAATAAAACGGCCGTTTAATTGCCGTTTAGTGGGCAATAAACAATAAAACTAGTCGTAAAAGTTCTGCGATCAATTCAATCGTTGTTCGGTGCATTTGCAGAACGGGTAGGACGTGCGGTGAAGTTTGAAAATCATGGATTTAGGTATAATGTGATCGATCGATCTTTACAATCAATGTTTTTTTTTGGAATCAATATGTTTCAATCGAATTGCTTCGATCCTCTAATAAAATATTGTACTAGAATAGAAAACTGCGTTATATCATTTTAGATTTGATATGGTTTTTTTATGAAATATTCTTATTTCAAGAAAAATATTTTATGATCAGTTGATTTCTAATTTTTTTTTTGTAACTATCATCCACAATAAAAGGAAGGTATAAGCAATTTCCTTTGCACTTAAGAATTTTGAGCCACAAGTTCATAAGTTGGAATTTGGGAAAAAAAAATTGAGGCCTACTATAAACTTTTAAAACATTGGTGCGGAGAATTATGAAGATGAATCAGACTAAATCCAAAAATTGAGGCTATACTATAAACTTTTGAAACATTGGTACAGATAATAATGAAGACTAAGACTAAATGCAAAATTTAATGAATTAAATACTCTAAAGATGATGAACGCATTTGCTCAAATCTACGTAGGTATATGGATTTCCTTCCTGGTTTATCTTTTATCAGTAAGAACTTTTAAAAGTAAAACTGGTTCAGTCAGATACGTTTGAACAAACTGAAGGGTTTCTTTTTTGCCTATGACACAATCATGAATTACGGAGGGGTCTTTCAAGTATTACGTGAGCACACTTTTAGTCGTTTCGGATTCTTCAAAATAAGATAATGTAAGAAAATTGAAAAAAAAAAAACTGAAAAATGCAGTTAACTTACCACTTTTTCTTACAATTGCTAAATAAACGAATTCGAGGAAGAATAAATAAAGAATATGGAGAAAATCATTGCCTATAAGAAAAACAGTTGGATATTTAGTCAAAAAATCCATATGGCGGCGAGGTACGTCTATATTTTTATTAATCTTATCCGGGAGAAATCATTTTTGTAGCCAATTTAAATAAAATTCCTGATGTAATTCATTGTTCGTTATGATTTCTTTTAAATGGTACACAAATATCATTAAAAGAGAGGTACTTATAGCCTTGCATTGATTTAGTTTACCTAGACCAAACAGATAATTTACGTAAGAAAGACAACTTTTTGAAAAGCTACCTTTTCTTTCTTTTGCAGTTTCTATTTACTCTCTTTCACGTTTATTCCTTTGTATTTTCAGATTGGATGAGCCCTTTTGATCGAGTCGTATGCGGTGAGTACCCATTTTGTATACTAGCATCATTTTTTATTCCATCGTTTCTTACGGTCTAAAATTGCTACGACGTTTGCGTATAAACAGCAGTCACAACTAATTTTTTGCCACCAAACATTATTAGTTTTACGCTTCATCATTGTTAAATGCTCCATAAAGTTATGGAGCTTATCCGTTTTACCCTTGTTTGCGTTATTTTTATGCCCTCGTGAAATTATCGAAATGTGTGGCAACGAGGCCTTTACGAGGGAAACCGTTTTTATTTCAGCCACCTCGTTTAGATGGCGCTAGTTGACTTATTGAGAAGAATATCCTAGAAATAAGACGAGAATTGTTCAAGTGTTGCGTTGAATTTTCGTTTTCTTTTGTACGTAATTAGGTACATAATTTGTGAATTAATGGAAAACAGAAGAATTTTATATTAATTGTAAGATAAATACATATTTATAAAGTAGTACTTAGTTTTACCCGCGGATTCGTTCTCGTTGATGATCTAAATGTGTGTCAAAAATTATGAAACACAACATAAAACTAATTTTTGTGTGCCTAAGAAAGAGTATCTTTTTCTAGGATAAAGGTACTCTATGTCCTTTTCTGTACCTCTAGCAATGTGTGTACAAAATTTCATTAAGGATGGTAGAGTAGTTAAGTCGTGAAATGGTAGTGAACAAACAAACTCACATTCGCATTTATAATATTAGTTAGGATTATGAAAACTGAGATGAAGAAAATCTTGGATTGTTTCACAATTGATTTTTTGAAAACACTATGTATATTTTGTATTATTGGTGAATCTTCAAGTATATATAACTTCATAATTGTATGTACTTAATTTTATAGTATAAAATTTTTTTTTATTAGTGAAATGGATTTGTAGCTTGGTGAAACATGTTTAAGTAGTTATATGAAGAAACACTTGGTATTATTTGTTTCACAGTTTTATTTGGATTTCGACAATATTGTTTCGGCTGTTATGCTATTATGAAAGTGAAATGTACTACATTATTATAATGGTATTTATACAAGAGGGTTGAAATCTAACAAAAATATTCATACACAGATACAAATACGAATACAATACATTGCAAGCTCATAAATTTCTGGTTTGTCCTAGTAGCTAACATCAATAACGGAGAAATCCTAAAATCAGTTTGATCATTCGTTACCTGTTTAGCTAGTGTTATTTTTCTATCGATTTTTCTTTAATGTAAGTAATATTGGGTCATAGAAGACTTGAAGAAACCCTTAGATTGTTTCAGAATTGCTTTTTTAAAAACACTCTATGTACATTTTGTCTTATTACTGAATCTTCAGAAGGATCTAACTAATTATAAGTACTTAATTGTACAAAATAAAGATTTTTCGTTAATGTAACTAATATTGGGCAAGTTTAAACGAAATTAGGATTTATAAAACTGTTATTTGCAAGTTGTGATTGATCGTTCGTTAAAATCGCAGAAAATAAAGGTACAACAATTTTTGATGTTGTCAACGTATTAATACCTTGGTATACCTAATAATATTATTATCTCACCGTTATGTCTCTAGATCACTATTGAAATGTCACATTTTGCATTTTATACATACGTCTTCTGTTTTCCTTAAACTTGGCTTCTTTGGAATGTGGTCTTTTTTTGAAAAAATTAAAAATTCATCAGCCGATTGTCTGGTCATTTTTTTACTTATTGTCCGGCCAAAAAATTTATTTGTTTTCGATAGTATCCGATTTATGGTTTTTAGTAGTATTCGTGTAGGTAGGTAGTCGTTGTAGGTATACTATAGACACATGACTATTATTATGTATGTACGTGTGTGTATAAAAAGTGATCGTAAATTAATTCGTTTTGCCTGTTCATGGAACTACCATAGCTGTTGTCGTGGCACAACCATGCGATACAGCCAACGACGAATCGACCAGAGCGACCAAGCGACCGACCATGCGTTATTAACGACATTTATTGCTTTCGCAATTAATGTCAGCCGCGTGATTTAATGCGTGATCAGTATTTTTAATTTAATTTACAACTTTTGCACCGGCAATA